TGTTTTTTCCTGAGGTAATCCAAAGCTTCTTGAGGTGAATTCTGTCTTATTCCTCTCAGCGCGACGCGAACAGTAAAACTTGAGGTCTTGCTGCTTTGTTTGCTGTGATGTGGGCATTTACAAGCCACGCGCTTCACGTGGATGATTATAATATCTATAGCGCACTCAGCGCGTGGGCGTGGTCGCATTCGATATAATGAAGGGAGACGTGAAAGACTGGACATCGCGTTGGTTTCATATGATTACTTTATCACAGAATATTTGCTTTTGATAAGACTTGGTTAGTTTAAAAGTAGACATATATCTCTCATGTCTCTTTGAGTATTTGCTGAGTTACAGTTCATTTTAATGACGCATTTCTAAATAAAGATCACGCAGACCAAGGTGGCAGACAGCGCACCACGTTTGTTTTCTTTATTTTATAAATGCACAAAGTTTTGTTGTTATTATGTGTGTATACAAATAAAAGTAGACCATTTACAGATTCGATTGATGTATTGCTCTAATCTGTAAGATCAAAACTGAATGCGTAATTTAAGTTCTTTTCGGTGTTATCAGGAGAAGATGCCACAAAACGCGTATCCGCGTTAGTCTACCCCAGAGTTAGTCTACCCCATTTTAAAAAGCAGATCCTCGTCTTGTCGAGCTGATGGCAAGCTCGTCATATAGTGCATGTTTTGACTTTTCAAAGAAAGTCATCATGGGAATGGGATCCCTCCTTCCAAGTTTGATGGCTCACAAATGCTCCAGGGCTTTATGACATGGATTGGTTTTCGGTTACAGATGCTAAATATGTCAAAAGTCCCTGCAATTTGGTACTGAAATGGAACATGTAACGATACCTAAGAGTCATTTTCAGTAGTACCAACTCAGTTTGGTACCTGCATGCTGTGAAGGATTACTTCTTTTAATTCATGCACACGTTCTGTGCGAAGCTTTTCCATCAACTGAAACAATCAAATATACACCAAATACGATTGTGGTGAAGTATTCATGTAAGAAAAGTGGATTGTTTTTGCTGTGAAATATAATATTCACCCAAAAATGTTTTACTCGCCTTCATGTTGTTCTAAACCTGTATGAGTTTCTTGCTTCTGTGGAACATAGAAGAAGATATTTTGATATTTCATAAAATAATTATATTTTGAAGAATGTTGGTAACCAAAAATTTGACTGTAGCCATTGACTTTCGTAGTATGGACCAAAAATACAATGGAAGTCAATGGCAACCATCAACTACTTGGTTACCAACGTGCTTCAAAATATCTTCTTTTTACCGTTCTTTTCTAAAGAAGACAGAAAATCATACAGGTTTGGAACAACATGAGGGTGAGTAAATGAAAACTTAAATTTCAATTTTGGGTGAACTATCCCATTAAGTGTCCTGTACATTTGGACTCAAATGAAGTCTTGTATTCTGACATGTTTATTTATCGTGTCTGCATTCTTTCACTTTAAAGGGGTCATATGATGTTGCTAAAAAGAACATTATTTTGTGTACTTGGTGTAATGAAATGTGTTTAAATGTGTTTATGCTGTTTAAGGTTCAAAAAACACATTTTCCACATACTGTACATTATTGTTTCTCCTCTATGCCCCGCCTTTCTGAAACGAGTAGATTTTTACAAAGCTCATCGGTCTGAAAACGCGAGGTGTGCTGTGATTGGCCAGCTATCCAATGCGTTGTGATTGGCCGAATACCTCAAGCGTGAGACGGAAATGTTACGCACCTTACCATATTGTGATGCCTGCGGCAACCACATGTGACGACCCCGGGCTGGACTCCGCTTCGTCCACGGTGAAAGCCGATCCGGCGATCCACAGCGTGAAGTTGTAGTATTTCCTCAGCGACCAGCATGGATCAGCTCTAGGCATGACGAAGCAGATATCGTCCTCTTTTGGAAGACCAAACAAAGTAGTTTCGCTTTCACAACAAAGCACACAGCGTATTCAGGACATGGAGGCGGCGGCAACAATACTACAGCGAGAATAAAAGTTACGCCTTCTTTCTTTGCGTGAACATTTGGGCGGCGTTATGCAAATCTTCCCACACAGTGACGTAGATATGTGGGGGCGTGTTAGAACGAGCCGTTTTAGGAGGATGTGGCTGACGCTGAACTTTTATAAAGAATATCTTTTTGGATTTGAGACTTTACGTGGCTCAACCAATCAGAATCAAGGACCGGAACTATCCGTTTTATAATAACAAACTGAAATGAAAATTAATTTAAAAAACATAAATATGTATTTATGTGTGTATATTAATTTATTTATTAGTAAGTTATTTATTTATTAATGATAAACACAGATCATATAAAATAAATAATAATAAATAAAATATTTTAGTTTTTATTATATTTATTATTAATAGTCATATCTTTTGATTTGTTTCCATTACAAATGCTAAAATGAGATGAAGTACCTTTTCATTTGTGATGTATTTAATTGACTGGATTATCAAATAGGCATTATTAGGTTATGTAATATATAAATATGGCTCTGCAATAAGTCCATATAAAAGCTCCTTAATTTGCACTTTAATTGACTGCGTTTCATTGATTTCCATCACAGAAGTTTTCGTAATTGTTCATGAGCAAAGCCTTCACTCGTAGGATGTTGTTAATATTAAGTCAGTTTTTAATATGATCGAATATTTTGTTGTATCTGTTAAACTTTAGATATTATTATTTTTTTAATAATGTGGTTATTTCATTTTAAGCTATTGTGTATTATTTATTAACAATAAATAAAAATAATGCAAACAATTAATAAGTAAACTAAAAATAGAATGAATAAATAATTAAGATACAATGATAAATAACAATATATTTAGATATGTTTTTTTATGTATTTATTGTTCATTTTATTTAATATAATTTATTTATTAATAGTAAATAAAAATAATACAAAATTAAAACTAAAAATAAATATGAATAAATAATTAAAATAAGATAAATACAAACAAATTATATATTCAGATATAAATTAACAATGTATTTTTAATTTTTGTTCATTTCTAATATATTGTTTATTTATTTGTATTAATAATAAATGAAAATAATAAAGTAAATTAAAAATAAATATTAATAAATTTAAATAAGATGAAAAATAAAAACAAATGTATTTAGAAATTTTTAATAATGCATTTATTTTATTTGTTTATTATTTATTACTAATAAATTAAAATAATATGAAATTAATAAATAAACAAAACTTTAGATATGATTTTTATTGTTTTGGTTTTTATTTGTTAATTTTTAATTGTATTTATTAATGCTAAATAAATTATACAAAATAATATAAAATTAATAAGTAAATATTAATTGATTCATTTAAAAAAAATTCCCAACAAATGCCAGTTTTAGCATATCTGTGCTGTGTTGTGACAAAAAAGAACAATGGTTGTCGCCCTAAATTTGTGTTCCTAAAATATTTTAGCAACAGTTTACAGTATGGTCCCATAAAATAAATGCATTAACTAATATTAACTAAAAATAAGCAGTACGTTTGATAGTTTTTATTAATATTCAAAGTTAATTATCATTAATTAATAAAAATACTAAAGTTGTTAGTTCATGTTTGCTCGGGTTCATTAAATAATATTGACATTATCAACTTACAGTTTTAATAATAATGTATTAGTTAACATTAAGATTGATGCATTTTAGAAGTGTTTTTCATTGTGAATTCATGCCAACTAATAAACTAACGTGTTAACAAATGGAAGCTCATTGTCAGCGGTCTTGTAATTTCTGTCTGTGCGGTTGCAGGAAATGATCAAGCCGATGTTCATGGCTGCCTCTTTACCCGGAGGAGGCACCAGCACCAACAGCACCACCACACAGTCGTCGGCCTCTTCCTCTCCCTCCTCTTCCTCCGTCTCCATGCACGCATCCAGCAGCACCTGCTGGCCGGTGGCCGCCGGGATGAACGCTCAGAGCGTCTCCAGTGCGAACGGGACGGTGCTCAAGAGCTCTCCGGCGGGGGTCATGCAGCTGCCCGCCGGATTCACGCTCATGCCAGGTGGGGCTCCTCGCCATTCATTCATTCATTCGTTCGTTTGTTGCATGCAGTTTTTCTCACTTTCACAGATTGAGGCTTATTTGACTTTATTTGAGGGGTTTTGCATGATGCACTGCATCAGCTTGCACGACGTCTTTGTGTTTTAATACACATAAACTTTTTTGCTTGCATGTCTGCATACTTTGAATTCTGCTTTCCACTGATTCGTCTGTGTAAAGGCCTATTCACATCAAGAGTGATGCAAAAATTACTTGACTCATAGAGAAACTCACAATATATAATTTTTTTTAAACATGACATAATGCTCTCTTTTTTTTCAAAAATACTTGTAAAAAGTCAATTCTGTACACCTTTTCATTTTCGTTTATTTATTTATTTTTTTTATTATATATTTTTTTCACAAACGCAGCTTTTATTATGAAATGGAAATTAAATCAACCAATCACTGCAGATTAGCGTCACACAAAGGAGGGGTTTGGAAAAATTAATCGTTGAGCGAATCGTTTGGGAGTTGTTGAGCATATAAGGTAAAGATAAATGCATATTATAAGACAATGAAAGTGTTTTTTGACCGTGCATGCATGTCAACCTGTTGTTGGGGACTCCCAAAACCAAAACCTTTCATAACCCATAATAGGGGCACTTTAAAACTTTTTTTTTTCTTCTCAGATTGTTACGACTTTATTCTCGGAAAACAAAACATTACGACTGTATTTTCAACGCATTTTACTTTTATTCTTGCAATGTTTTTTGTAAAAATATCAAAAATATTGTAACGTTATGATAATTTTTTTAAACAAATTTTGTTCTCATAACACTGTGATTTTATTGTCAAACTGTACAACTTTATTTTTAAACTACTGTGACTGTTGTTGTAATGTTATATTTATTCTCGTAACAGCGGCTTTGTTCTTGTAATGCTACATCTTTATTCTCATAACATTAGGCCTTTACTTTCATTTCTGATTTTATTCTTATTACATTATGCCTTTGTTCTTTTGGGGGGAAAAAAATGCGGTTTTATTTTACAAACTGCTGTTATTCTCAAAACATTTCAGCTTTATAGTTTTGCAATATTTTGACATTTTTGTAACATTACTCTGACAGTTTCAAATCAATTTTGTTCTCTTTACATTACGACTTCATTCTCAAAGAGTATGACTTAAAACAGTTTCTTTCTATTTGTAATGTTATGTCTTTAGTCTCATAACAACACCTTTATTCTTGTAATGTTATATCTGTATTTAAAAGTTACTGCTTTATTCATGTAACATTGCTTTTAATCTTGTAACATTAGGCTTTTGTTCTCGTCATTTTAAAGCATTAGGCTTTCACTTTCATAACGTTATGATTTTATTCTTATAACATTATGCCTTTGTTCTTGTAATGTTACAAGCCTGTTCTTAAAAAATCGCAGATTTAGTCTTGTAATGTTAACATGATTCTTGTAACATTATTCTGATATTTTCAAAACAATTTTGTTCTCAACATTACGATTGTGACTTTATTCTTGTAAGGTCATGTCTTTATTCTAAAAACAACGACTTTATTCTTGTAATGTTACATCCTTATTCTTTAAATGTTACTGCTTTCTTGTAACACAATGCCTTTAATCTTGTAACATTAGGCTTTTACTATAATGTTACGCTTTTGTTTCTTGTAATGTAACAAGATTGTTCTAGTAACACTATGCCATTATTTCCAAAACATTACACCTTTATTCTTTTATTCTTCTAATGTTTTGACATTATTCACTACATAACGTTTGTATTCACAACAATTTTGTTCTCGACTTTTCTCAAAACATTCTAACTGTTCTTATAATGTTGTGACCACTATTTTAATGTGCCATTAAAACGCCATTGCAGATAATAGTATGACTGACAGTTAGCAAAGTGCTGTTGATTCACTTTTAACTGCACATATGCTTATGAAGACGGATAAGAGTGCGCAGTAACTCGGCTCCTCTAACAGTTTTGTTTCTGTTTTTTCAGATGTTGATAAACCAGCAGCCCACCGGTAGCAGCAGCGCCACCCTCACGGAGCTGCAGGTGGTGAATCTGGACAATCCCAAAGGAGACTGACCCGTAACGCAGGAGGCCGGTGTGACCGTTCAGTCGCACTGATATTCCAGGGATCACTCATGCCATGCAGTCAGACTGCCATTGTATTTATTACTGCCTTCTCGCTGTGTGGGACATACGTCAATAATGAGGTGTAATGGGACGTTTGAAGGATGATCACGTCTCCTCACGGACTCGTTTTGGTGGGTGATAATGGATGATTTTTGTTCACGCGCATCTATACTTCAGGATTTCATAGAGACGTGTCTGCACTATCGCTTCTCGGTCTTCACCTGTTTTTGCAGAGAGATGTACGATTATGTTCACTTTCAGTAAATTCAAAACCTCTTCGCTGTACAACAGTTGAAGGATCTTCAGTTCAATCTTTCTTTCTTTTGGGAATGCCTCTCTTGATCTGATTTGTAATTCATTTTTCTTTTGAGGTCAAAAATGGATTCTTTCCAGAGTTTATGTTGTGAAATCAGCTCTTCGTTATAGTTCCAATGGCGGTATGTGTGTTATTTATTGCTTTAAGGAATGTTTCACACAGAAAGGACAATTCTGTCATCTTCAGATGCAAGAGTTATTTTGCAGAATGTCCAACCTTTTCATTTAATTAAATGGTGACTGATGCGGTCGAGCTCCAAGTCCCACCTTTTTATAAAATAAGATGATTTTTTGTTGTTGTTGTCATTTTTAGAGCTCAATAGCACCCGTTCCCATTTATAAGCATCAACAGACTTGGAAAGACATGAGGGTGAGGAAATTATGAGTGCACTTGCTCTAAATGTAATGCTGGATACTCTTGCACTGCCATCAACACTCACTAGGGGCTTCATGTACAGTTTGAATTGATCATTTCTTAAAAATAAAATTTTTCGTCCTCATCACTTTCTCTATGGCCTTTGTTATTCAATTGACCCTTCGCTGGGAGTTTGATTGACAGGCATCTGACCAATCATAACGCCAAAACTGCCATTTTGTCCGTCAAACAAACAAATTAGACAGCAGACTAACGTCGGTAGACTTGAACTTGAAAAATGTGTATTGATGTCTTTCTGCGGTTGAAACAAGATACCTTCTGATGTTCA